CAGGAAAGAAATTTCATTTAGTGATTCATTTTTCTTTTCTCTTCTTGGCCTGTGCTTGATGACATTTCTCCATGAAGTTCGTGTGTGTGTGTGTGTGTGTGTGTGTGTTTAGCTTGTCCATCCTCATGAATCTATTAGCAGAAACCATTTGTCCTGAAACTTTATCCTTGTCTGGAGAGTGTCGGAAATGTTACCTGTTCTTCTTTATTTGTTGCAAAATTTAGGGACAAGGAAGAACCATATGTGTTTTCTTAAAATCAATGGCCAGCACATTACTGTAAAACCTATTGATTAAAAACACAAAGTATAATGTTAGTCATTTAGTCTGTGAAGTGACGCGATAAGGGAAGAAATTTATCCTTTGACTTTTGCATTAACCTTTATTGACTGCTTGCATACCCATAATTAACACACACTTTAGCTAAAGTGGTTAATTTTAGCATGGTGACCAATGTTCACTAATGTAGCTGCCATCTTGATCACCCAGATGTAAAGGAAGCCCTGGGGGAAATCAGTGAGTTACACCTCAGGGTGGAGGCTGCAGGACCTCTGGGCCAGCCGGCTTCCTGCACTCTCCCTAGGTTGTTCAGAGAGAGCCACTCCTGAGCCGCAAAGAGCTTTGAGTGTGGCCCATCAAGTCCTTTGAATGGAAGCCAGGTGAATGGGAAAGAGAGGGATGAAGGACTTGTAGTTTTCTGTTCTGTTCTGTTCTGTTTGGCTCCATTAAGTATTTCAAGCGAGGGGCAGGGTTTTCTAAGCTGATCCAGGTTTACTTGCTAACTCCAGAAGCATCTAAAAATGGAGTTTTTCCCTTAGGAAATGAGAATGAAGGCTGGAAGGGGAGGCTGTGGCTTCATACCAGGTAGCTAGGGACAGTGACAGCTGAGAAGAACACTAAGTTCGGTAAGATCTTTTAGATTTTCTGAAAAGATTATTCAATCCTGGCTGTGAAAACCGGCTTATTTTCTAGGAAAAAGCCCTCAAGTCCCTACTTTCAAGCACAGATAGTTTGTATGCAGTAACATGAACGCATGGTGACAGTGAATCTTGTAAAATGTGGGGAGTAGCTGAGCTGGGAAGAGTGGCTGGCATCAGGATTCTTTGTTGCAAGTAGCAGAAAAACCTACCTTAGCCAATAAAGCTTGAGAGAATGAAGTCTGCAGAGACCTAACTCCACCTTACAATATGGCGTAGAAATCTGCCTCTGGTGGCAGAAAAGCAAAATGACCGTGGGAGGTCAGGGTTGCACAGATCAGGAGAGAAAGAGAAAGAGGTATTTTCCCTCAGCTCCTGCATCAGAACTCAACTTGATTCTGGTTTCTCTGGGTTGTGTCCTGTGCCTCTCTAGCCACTTCTTATGACCAGGAGTAGGCGGTACTAACTGCACCACCATGCTTGGCATTTCTCAAACACATCTGAAGACACTCAGGGCCCTCTCTTGTACAAGGAACTATAGGCTCCAGGGTTAGCATACTAAGAAACAACCCAGTAAGTGGCAAGTCTACCCCTTCCTTAGTCTGCATACTATAGCCCGCCACTAGAAAGTTGCAGCAGCTTCACTGGGTAAGCCTGTGTCTCAGGATGTTGCCTGTGACAAGATTCAGTCACAGGCTGTTGGATTCAAGGCAGAAAGAACTATGCCAGGGCTGCTGAGCTTCCCCTAGACAACCTGTTCAGGGACTCCTACCAAGGGACTTTGGAAGGAGCAGAGAGCTATAGCTTAACAGTCCATACTCTGGTGGCATCTCTCATCTGTCACTGGCACTCATGGTGGAAGTAATGATAGTGGTGATATTTAATAGTTACCAAGCTGTGTGCTGGGCAGTATTCCAGATACTATCTCTGTCCATTCATTTAATCACAGCACACCCATAAGTCAAAATGTTATTTTTGCAACATGCACAAGCATGAGCACGTGCGCGCGCGCACACACACACAAACACACACACACACCAGCTTGCTTGTAGGGAATATCTCCCCAGAGTCCTTAGGCATGCTTGAAATAATGACTGATAATTATAATTTTTCCGGGGTATACATGCCTAGGATATAGTTTAATTTAAAGATAGGCACCGAAAAAGATGAGCACCAGTAACTAATAAAACAGAACCATTTTAACAGTGTGTTGCAATAGAATTAGGTGAATTCAGTTGTCATTCTCAAAATGCCTCACGTTCCACTCACCCTGAGGGTAGTGCTTGCCTTTGAGATGCCTACAATGAGGAGGTGAGCTGAGATGGGTAACAATAACATGGGTGCTTCGTGCAGCCCAGGGCCACTGTTGACCTTCTGACCTTGTGTCAGGAGGATTGTCCACTCTCTGTGACTCCAGATAATGGTGATTGGACCAAGTGGCTTGTACAATGTACTTACAGGGTTATGAGAGACACAGGTGACTCACATCCTGGGTGGAACACAGGATCCCATCACACTGCTCAGAATTATGCACAACTTAAAACTTGTAAATTATTTCTAGAATTTTCCATTGGTTGACTGTGGGTAACTAAAAATAAATGCATAGATAGCAGGAACTACTGAACCATTATTATTATTATTATCATTATTATTATTATTATTATTCCCATCACTACCATTAGATCATAAGCAGCATCATAAGATAAAGAAGTGCCCAAATGATGTGTCCCTCAGAAGCAGCACCTCCAGAGAACAGTGTGACCCTTGATGCTGCCATCTCCCTACTGCCCCACCTAAGGACACTGAGACTCTAGCAAACAGGTGCTTTGAGCAAGATGTAAAACATAACAGCTGAAAGAGCACAAGCCTCCAGATCACTCTCAATCCTGGTTTGTCCCCTTCCACAGTCTGGTGTAGCTGGAGGGGGCGGGACCCCTTCTCAAAACTGGTATCTTACTTAGCTCTCTCACTGGCATTTGGAAATTAGCAAGGGAGAGAGAGAGAGAGAGAGAGAGAGAGAGAGAGAGAGAGAGAGAGAGAGAGAGAGAGAGAGAGATACATGCCTGTCCACAGTTTTAATGATACCAAGTAGGGCTCTCAACAGCCATCCTTGGTGAGAACAGTGGCAGCAAGCTGGGAAGCAGCTTGCCCAGAAGCAGGCCAGCATGCACATAGCTCTGCCATGGGCCTGAATATTTTTAATACTTTCTCAAAGTGAGGAGGCAAAACCATTTGACAGCTGAGAAAGCATCTCTATTGACTTTTTACAAACCTTATGATATTCTAGGTGGATCAACACTTATCACAGCCCTTTAATCTGCCAAGCAGGATAATATGTGCACGGATAATTTATCCACTGTGAGATTGAAATGCTCAATTTGGAATAACTTTACCTACCCAGTAAATTGAGCATTACTCTGCTATTCTGAGGTCAAGAGAAAGCACAATTTAAAAAGCTTTGCTGGGTCCCTTTGTAATTAGTCGCAGCTTCCCTTGAATATTAATTTCCCCCTCGTCTCTTTCAAGTGATTTAGAGACTGTCACAGGAATTGCAGAGACGCACCCTGAGAAGGGCGACAGCAAGCAGCGTGGGCTCCAGCACCTATTATGAAGTAGGCTGCCGAGCATGCCCTCTGCCCCCCATGCTGCGTGTGCTCATCAGCACAAACAGTTGAATATTTATGCTAAGAGGATTGTCAGGAGCTGCTTCTGTTGCTTTAATTCTTGTTTTAAATAAATAATGAGAACATTTAAACACATTACTCTTCTTGGGGCCCTGAGGTCAGCTAATCTTATTATTTATGAAGTGATGTGCTACATAATAGTACTTAGTGCATGTTAACAGACGCTATTATCAGGGTCTGATGCGGAGAGCAGAAGATATATTGGAATGTTACGTGTAATGTACGACGGATTGAGTGCATAGGATGCCGGTATAGCAATTAACCACATGCGAAAATAGGTGTAAAGTTGAAGTATGCTTTCCCCTGGGAATCCCCTCACCATTAATAATCCCCCAGAGAAGAAACGTCTTTCCATGAGGATCTCACTGAGTCCTATGACTTTAAGTGGGTGTGGCCACTTCTACTGACAACAAGCGGGGAGGGCAGAGGTAGGGGCACCCACCCAGCTGTTGCAAACACAGGTTTGGTGTCTGTGCTCAGCTTATAAGGAATCATTCATCACTTAGTACACCCATTTCTTTTTTTTTTTTTTTTTTATGGCCCTCATTTTTCAGATAACTAGAACTGAAGCCAAAGCATTTCCCAAGCCCAATTTTAGATGAGCACAGCTCTCCAAGAGGATGGTACCTCGGAGATGTGAGCATGTTACCCCAACTTTTTCCTAGCAGGCTATAATTTAGCAGCATATGATAATTAATTTCTCTACTATTGATGAATAATCCATTTAATAAAAACGGTGATTTAAGTGTTTTCCTTGGGGACTAACTCTTGCTAGCCTCTTAATTTAATTTGGTGGAAGTTTTCCCACCTATTCATCAGCGGAAATGATTATTAACCTCTATTTGCATATATCCTTATAAACCTCTCTCTCCTTGGAGTGCCTTTTTCCTGAGCCCAGCAAGCTGGGACACTTGTAAATCTCCAGGATCTCCAAAGTCAATCCTGGCCTGTAATATTGTTTAATCTATTCTTGGACGTTTTAATGCAGTAAATTCAATTTAATCTTTCCCAGTAATCTAGTAATACATTGAAATCCCACAAACATTTAAATCTGATAATGGCTTAATCACACACTTTAAATAACTGTTGAGATAATGAAAAAATAATTCACCATTTTAAAGGCAGAGTAACTCAATTTCCCTGGTGATTGGCTTTTCTGAAGCCACTGGAGATGATACAGATCAGGGAATTGGAAAAGCTTGAAGCTCCAACACTCAGAGGGACAGGTTTTCCTCAGAAATGTGTTCTTTCCACCTGGCGAGCATCTCCTCACACTTCACCTTCGTCTTCCCTTTCACAGCTCTTGTTGGAGCATTTAACAGTATTAGTGTCCGCGTTTCCCAGAAGCCTGGAACTTCCGGTGCTTTCCCAGTGGGTTAACGGCTGCTCTTCCTCTCCTAGGTGCCAGTCCAGAATCATCCGGTCTTTACCAGCTCATCAGAAGCCAGACTGCCGGCCCTACTGGGAGAAGGATGACCCTTCCATGCCTCTGCCCTTCGACCTCACAGAAGTGGTTTCCGAGCTCAGAAGCCAGCTTCTGGAATCACGGCCCTAGAGGAAGCACAAGTCTTTGGTGGAGAAGGAAAAGATAGCGTTGGCTTTCCTTCCCAAACCTAGGACAAGGGTAGTGTAAACACCTCTCACCCCATAGGTGATAGGACCTGGGTTCCAATTCAAGACAGCCAGAAAATAAAGCTCACAAATTCTAAAATGTTGAAAAATCACTCAGTATTTTAGTCTGATTTGGTGTTAAACTAGAACACACACACACACCCAAAAAGTATTCCCCGACCTTTTTTGCCCCTTTGGGAACCCTTTTGTCGTGAGCTAAGCCTGTGACAAGCCTCACCTTCTTTCCTCTCTAGCTAGCCACCTCAGAGACTGGGAATAGACCCAGGCATTGGACCATAGAACTGGACAGATCTATCCGAGCTTCTCACCTTAGCTCTGGAGGTTGGACCATCCAAGATGGCAGTTACTAGCTCACTGTGGCTGCAGACCAACTAAATTCAGCTTGATTATAGTTGGAAAAATCCCTTCTTCGGTTGCCCTGGCCACGTGTCAGGTGACTGGCAGGAGGGTATCGGTGACTGTGGTTTTAGGCAACATTTGGATGTTTCCATGTTTCAAGTTTAAACCCTCTTATGGTTTTCTGTAGCAGCTATTACTGCCATAACCATAGAGGGAAGAAAGGGAAAGCAACTGCTGAACAGTAACCCTCCCTCCTCAGAGACGAAGCTCAGTGAGGGCCTGACTGTGAGCCCTGTACACTGCACACGGGAAGAGGAAGGAACAGCAAAGGAAATAGCCACATCCTGGCTTCACGGGGCTTCCCTGATCCAGTGGCAGGCCCGCCCCCTAAAACTCCCCCATTTGCGGGTACTGAAGCACGGGAACTTGAAGGACCCAACTCCCCATCCCAGTGATGCCAGAACATTTTAGGCTAAGGGGAGATGTTAAGCCTGAATTCTAATTTCAAAGTGCCAGGATTACGTTTTCCCACTCACTGTGTGACCTTCTCATGTCCTTGTATCTTAGTTTCCTCGTCTGTATGGTGGGAGGGTTAAAAGTATTAACTGCTAACATGAAGATTAAGTGACATGACCGAGCTACAGACCTGAAGCGATTTCTAGCATACCTAGCTCAACGCCCGATACGTATTAGCGTTGTTATGTGAGCTGCCCTGGATTTGGCAGTCTTCCTCCCCCGCTGCAGTCCTTTACTGTCTGTGTCTCAAGGCCCATATCTTTTTCTGCTGTCCTGAGGCCTTTTGGTGGCTACAGAAATGTTGACAATAGTTAGCCCCTTCCCTCAGCCTATGATTTTCTTGTATTGGTCGGGACTTTCTGCATGTCGAGTGTGTACAAACACAATAGTGTTTTTGCTGCAGTCAGGATCCGGTCTGAGATGCCTTCCCGGGCCAGAATTAGCCCTCGGAGCTGCATTTCCCAAAGAAGCTAGGATTTCGTGGTGCAGGGACCCAAGTCTCTTAGGCCTTGATTTATCCCCTTTTATTACTGAGCTGCAACTTCCTCATCAGTACAGAGGTGAGGTCCATTCTCAGAGGGTACTAGCATAGATGAAGTGAAATGACCTAAGAAAGGTGTAGTTGGCTTCAGATGTCACAGGCTGGCCTATCACCACATCCCCCGCCGCCTGGCTCTGGTTCATTAGGCCCCATGCTACTTCCTCTGTGCTCTATTGCATTAGATGCCAAAATTAAAAATTGGGAGATTCCACATAAAATAAAATTTTTTGCATTCTCTTTAGAAGTCAGGACACCTATGAGCTCCTGGGTCTCTACTCGCATGGCAGTGGCTTGGCAGTGTGTGTGACCTCTGTGCTCTGCTACGACCCTGCTACTCCTTGGCATCATTTTGTAAACATGCTCCTCCCAGCAGTGCTTTCTAAACCTGCTTGCTCACACCCTTTAGTAGAAAGCAGTAGTGTCGAGTGCTCAGTATGTGTTCCTCCTGTTGAACTGTGTTCATGGTCTGCTTGTACTGCTGTGCTGTGTGCACCTGATCATACACAATAAAGATGAGAAACCAAAGTGTGACTGTGGTGTTTTTGTCCTTGCATACAAGGGGGGAAGGGGGTTGCTGGGTGGATGGAAGTGGTTCTCAATCCTCCGGTAGCTCCTACCTGCTTTCCTACCAGTCTTTCCTGGCTGGCAGGTTACAGCCCACTTGAGGAAATTGATCTAAAAGATGCATTACCCTCAGGGGCTTCAGCCTTCCTCTGTTCGGACTCTAGCAGTGTGTGGAGCCCTAGGTCTGATCCTACCACCAATCTGTCTTTCAGGGACTCCAAGGAATGTATACTGTCATGGGGAGACAGACAAGAAACCAATACTGTGATATGATCATCCTAGATGCTTGTGCTTGGAAGGGAAACACCTAGGTGGGGCATGGAGGGGAACTGGTGAGCAGTAACAGAGGAGGAGGGTAGATTATCCAGGGGCAGTGTGGAAGACCTTTCCAGAAGAGAGGATGGCAGTCACAAAGACTACAAGGCTGGGGGGCCCTTGGAAAGGTGGCTTCAAGGAAGAAAAAGAGCTTTTGTGGCCCAGGCGGAGAAAGTCAGGGGAGTCCTGCCATCCCCACTAGAGCAGAAGCAGAAGCAGTGTTGCCTAGGTAATATGAGGATTTTCCACAGGACAGGTGGGGGCAACTTGATGAGATATTTTATGCTTTCAGCCATTGCTCCAACAAATGCTGGATCCTAAGTCATGGGGACAAACAGACCCACTTCCAGGGAGCATCTTGGCAGCCAGGAATTCCATGCTGAGCAGCACCCACAGTGGTCCATCCATTCCTGTTCTTACCAGCAGCCTCCTGCCTGACAGAGTTTTCTAGACAGAAAAGAGTGGGGTCATGGCATGGCTTGTGACACAATTTTAGTAATAAGCTTCCAAATCCATCACTAAGTGAGTGGAGGGGTGCCAGAAATGAGATTGCATGAGCCCTGCCTAATGCTGGGGCACAGGCTTGGTATATGTTTCCAGGGAAGGTATTTTCCAGTGCAACTTTTTTTTTTTTGCCTGCTCTAGTTAAGGCTGATTTTACCACTGGGCAAATTGCATACATTTGGATCCATGCCACACTAAATACTGTTTATTCTGGGGATCTGTCAGAGGCGAGTGCATGGAAGACAAGGGGATTCTGATTTGAAAAGGCGATTCTCATCCAAACAGGTTCAGATGGAGCGAAGCGGCGCGGATTAAAAGGCGCTGAAGTGGTAATGCCGTTTATCCAGTTTGCCTTTGTTACTCTGTGATTAAATGGTATTTTTAATTAAGTTTCATTGGGAGCCATAGGTATCGAGGTGGTGAAATCAATTTGACAACCATAAAGAGGGAGGAAGGCGCAGGCGGGCTGTAATGACTGCCACCGAGACTGCTGTGAGAGCCACAGAGAGCCAGCAGCCCTGAGAGGACAGAGAAGGCAGGCCTGCCATAATGACTTCTAAAAGGAGGCAAGGACACCCAGGGCTGCCACTGTGTTTGGGAGGCCGTTCTGGGGGTTTGCCAGCAAAAGGAGTACTCTTGCTTCCCTGAGACATGGAGAGATTTGGATAGACTCCAGAGTATGCTGGTGACTCCAGGAAGGGGCTGAAGGGCCATTCCCATGTCTCTGTGTGTAGGACAAGGCAGAATGTCCTCCCAAGACCCCTTGCTGCAACCTGGCCATAATCCCAAGTAGCTACATCCATAATCCTCTACTCTGACTTCCTCTTCTCACCATATGGTTCACTTTCCCCATAGAACCTTGCCAACACAGGTTCTTTCTGATATCTAGCCTTAATCTTCCAACAGTGGGAGCTAGTTTTCCTTTAGACACATGCCCATCTATTCTGTTGACATGATTTCCCGAAACCTGAGTCCTGAGTGGCAGTAGAGGCTTATGGATACAGGCTTTCTGGGTCTGTGCTAGTTGTGGATGTGTGACCCTACAGCTACACACGCCTTTCATACCTCTTGTCTACAAAATGGTAGGTGCAATAATGTGACTATTGCCTGAGCAGGTCATGAAGGGCATGCAAGTTCCCATGCATGTAAGAGCAGCAGATGGGGCTAGCACGCATGGGTCTTCAGGAAGTACCGGCCATCATGAATCCAGTTACCTGACATCAAAAAGTCTTGCTTTGTGACTCAGGCAAATGGCTTACCTCTGCAATCCAGTCATCATTGACCCAGTGTGGGGAAGATAGAGATGTGGGCTAACACTTGGCTGTGCCCCACACCCTGCAGTCAGGCACCATCAGTGAGTCCCATCAGACCTCAGTAATCACTCAGCGCTTGTCAGTTACTATAATCGACAACACCCCAACCAATAGTCAATGATCACCAAGAAAGAGAGCACAGCAGCCAGCTACAGTTTGCTTGAGAAGAGAATGCCACCAGCACTTCTTTAGCCCAGTCGCTCTTCATGGCTCCCATTTTTTTTCTCAGGAGATGGCCTGGAACTTCTTATAAATGAGATGGTATGAAAAATGATTCCTTCATACTGCCATTACTGCAGCAGGATTAGGTCACCCCTGGCAATTTCAGATTTGCTTAAAAACATTCCTGCCTCACCTTCTAATGGATGGCCTGTGTACAACAATTGTTTATTGACTCGGATGCCTAAGGACCAGGGTCAGCCCGCTTTGGGGGAGGGAAGCATTAATTAACTCCCACCATTAGACTTGGTGATTCTTTTCCAATGACGCAGTGCATGACTTTGTCCGCATTTACTTTTCATCAGTCCTGCAGGAGTCGAGGTGAACCAGCTCCCCCGCACATATGTGTCGGGCTAAATGGATCACAGCAGATACAGATCTGTTTGCCTGTCTGCACTTGCCTTTAGACAAAATTCATCAATTTTACAAAAGCTACTGACTTATCTGACACCTGTACAAATGAAGAGCTTGCAGCCTGGGTTTTCTCTTTGTTTTGAACCTGCAGAAGTGGTCTTAGACCAGTACAAGGCTACTCTGTAAGAGCTGTTTTTTCCAATGCACAGTGGTTCTGAACTTGGGTCAGCTGGCCTTCTTGGTTGGTGACCATGTGGTGGTCTTGTCTGGGCACATACAGATCACCCATGGAGCTAGACAGGTAGCTCAATGGCACAGTACTTGCCTAGCATATGGGGACCCTGAGTTTCATTCGTAGCTCTGCAAAAATGTAAAGGAGGAAAAAAATCAACAGCCATCCCACCAGTATAGAAGTGACCTTCTGACCTTTCTAAACACAAGAACATCCATAAGCCAGAGGGATCCTCATGCTTAAACCCACTGGTCCTGTGCTTTGTGTGATTTCCTCTGTGCTCTGTGCGATTTCCTCCCCCTAGGGAGATATAAGTAGCCAAGCCCATGCAGACTCACAGAGAGTGTTGCTAGAGCCCCGGAATGTTTCTCGCTTCTGACCAGGCAAGGCAGTGGCACATGACTCACTCTGGGAGCTTCACCAGCAGCAAGCCTGCCTCTCCAAACAGCCATGAGAAGCACACTAAGGGCTGCTCTTGAGTTTTTTGTTGTTTTCCAGACCCCGTACACCCTGTGACAACACACCATAGCTGAGACCAGTTGTGTTCCATTCTTCAAGTTATGCTAGAGCCTCAAATACTGCAGGGAAAGCGAATGTGCTTCAATTTGCTTCTTGGCAAAATGGCTGTCCCCCACTTATAACCCCAGTTTTCCTTTCAAATGAAGGAGGGGACAACTCCCAATCCCCACAAGGGATGAATCGGTTTCTCAGAGCAGCAAAAGCTGCAGCTGGTAACTCACCCACCGTGGAAACGGGTTCCCTGGTCCCCTCCTTCCATCTCCCCACTTCCCAACCCTTCTGACAGTGAGTTGCATTTGATTACAGTGATTAGAGCTGGGGCAGGTATATAGGATTCCCACTGTCCCCCTCTACTGCTCGCAGCCAGGGTCAAGCTGAGAGGCATCCCAGGGACTATGTGAACAATCAAACCCTGTTTACCATGGATGCTTAGTTTTCTTTTGACAAAATCAAAACAGAGTTTAGTAGGCAGTGTATTTCATACATGCCCCTTGATCAATGCAATGATCTGTCAGAAGCCATTAAAGCCCCCATTAGCTCAGATGCATTCAAAGCTAAACTATGGATCATTTAAGGGCTGCAGTGATTGTTTTTAATATACTGTACATTGATTTCTCTCCATGAGCAGCAACATAAGTTTGAAACTAACTGTGTATGACTCTGGCCCCATTTGCTGTCTCCAGCCCTCCGTGAGAAGCTTGCTTTCATTTGACCAGAAAGCACTGGGGATAGTTTTCAAAGCCATGTGGCCCCTGGTGGAGTTCCAGAGGGTTAGCCTGGGTGGGGCTCTTAACTTACTTTTTTTCCCCCAAAGCTTTCTCCTATTTCTTTGTCCCCATTGAGCGAGCTGTGTGTGCAGAAGGGAGCAGTATTCCTGCCGAGGGCCTTGAATGAAAGGCAAGGGAAGACATCTTTCTGAAATCATGCTGAGGCCCACACGGACGTGAGTCTGACAGTGTAAGTGTACTCAGCCAGCAAGAGCCTGTCCAGGAGGCCTAGAACTCCTGTGGCTGGGTCAAGGACGCCCTCCTCCAGCCTGCCTGTGGAGGGTAAGGGTCTTTGGGAGAGGGTAAGAAAGCAGCCAGGGCACCATATTGCCAGCTCTGTGGGCACTGACAATTCTTTCTGCTTTACTAAAATAGATCCACCTAGCAGATACCTGTTGGTTCCTTCGTAAACACAAGAGCAGTGAGAGCCCTGAAACCCCACCTTCTCAAACAGCCAGTCTGCTTCTTGCCCTTTGCCTTTTGACACAAGGCCTGAAGGGACGGGGCAGCTTGGCAGAAGAGGGTCCTCACCCTATTTGCAGGGGCGCGTGTCCCAGGCAGAAGTATTTATGCATCACACCTATTTTACAGATGGAACAAGTGAAGCCCAGATGGGAGAAACTGGGTTATTTAAGGTGGGTGATGTAAACTGGATTTCAAGTTTCCAGTGTCTAGTGGAACTGGGGGGGGAGCAATACTTTTGAGCTCAACCTCCATCACAAGCCTGTGTTCTATT